TTAAAATAAAATGCCCATTTTGTTATGTCTTTTCGTGTTTCTAAGAAAATTCTTAAAATATTTATCATCCAAATTAGACGGTTTCGCGAAAGGTAAGCATACACTCAAATAAACGGACCTTGTCGGGCGAAGATGGAATATTTACTAGAGATTAGATTTAATATGCAGATGTTTATTTTTCCTGACCCAAAACTCCTCATGGTAGTACACCAAGTGTTACGAAACTATCGCGGATTGGGTTATACTAGCCGTTGGTTTGCGGCGCTTTTAATCCGGTTACGTTACGATGTCTGTTCTGACTAGATCTAATAATTTGTTTGAAATGGTTGTCTGTAGACATGTTACTTTTCCCAACACATTTATACAAACGGATAGTTCGATAAGAAAACGCCATGTGTCCTGTGCGTAAACGTTTTCATGTAACGAATCACAGTTATACTACCGGATGCTTACAGTAATTCTAGGTTGTTCACACGTATTTATTAGTGTTCCTACTTTTGCATATTTTTACTAAAAATTATATATTTTATTTTATTTAGTTCAACAAGTATGATTCAGTTTAATTTTGTCAACTTCATGATTATTACAATTGTTGGTTTAATCACGTGAACGCTTTGTCGACAATAGTTGTACATTGTGTTTGACTGTGTGTGTTTATATTCTGTTATAGTCGATAATTGGTTTGTCAACAAGCAACAAACGATTTTATATTTGTTGTCAATTGACAGCGTTTATCGACGTAAACAAAGTTTTTGTCGCGTTTATCTCGAAGCGTCGAGAAACGAACAAATACTTTTATGACGGAACAGAGTTGTTTTTCTCACGGCGCGGAAGGATTATATTTTCTGTTTCGCGATTCGCCCCATAAAAAAACTTTTTTAAACGAAAAATACGTCACAAAAGCTGATTATTTTATTGATAAAAAATTACACTGAGATTAACAATAGTAAATATCTCTGATAGGTGCTCCTATTATTGACATAGTAGCGATAGTCCGTCGCACTATATTCTCATGGTGGCACGATTGCGGTGATAGGGTCTTTTCATTCATGTCGTCACAGTCGCCGATTCAGTGGACGGCTATAAATTTGCGGACATGCCTCCACATCCTCATTCGCTTTCTGATCTTCGGACAACAATCACCTCTACCCGGACTTACTCCACCCATTCTTTCTGGATATTTAGATTTAGTTTGCAGTGACTGGTATCATACATAACTTAGTCAACATGTCTAAGCAATTCGACATAACCGCCTTTTTCAAGGATTTAATGGCTGGTGGCACTGCCGCCGCTATTTCCAAGACAACTGTTGCACCCATTGAAAGAGTCAAGTTGTTGTTACAGGTACGACAAGATTTTTTTTTTTTTTGAATTTCATTCGCGTTTGAAAATTTGTTGACAAGATTTTTTAGTTACTTTGTATCAATTTGTGTTGGCGCCGAACGCGGTATAGTTCTGAACTATATGTTAGTATTTCAATTGTGTTCTTGTACTTAATGTTGTGTAGCAGACATAGTAACGTAATATTTCAAATATTAATATAGTTGTTATGTAAATAGTTATTGAAATTACAATAAATTACTTGCGCGTCGATTTATTCGTGCATTGTTGTCATAGCGCCGACGCTTATGACATCAAGACGGACAACGAACTATGTCACAATGATGGAGAGACAATCATTCTCAGGGCTATTTTTTTACAAACAAACCTATGAACTGTTTAAATTTTGGGAACACAATATTGTTGTATCAATAGTTTGCATAAATGCATATTTACAAGTAAGTTATTAGGAATATAAAGGTCGAAATAACGAATGAAAAATAAATAAATGTTGCAAAACGTTTGAAATATCTGGACAATCCGGTCGCGTTATGACATCACAGTTGTCTACAAACAGGCATGGAACAATCTGTGTCCTGTCGACTCATTTTAATTTCAAAACAAAACATTATTACAGAACATTTAAATGTATAATAAGTATCTCCAAATGACAACGGAATAAGCAATCGTTTCATTGATCGATCATTGAATTGGCCTGTCGATTCGATTCGATATTTCTTCTGATTTTTTTCGATTCTTGATTAACCAATGAGGATAAATAATTTTAAAATAAAAACAATTGAGATTATTCCTACAATGTCGACGATGTCGTCAGCCCTTTGTGACACAATCAGTGTGTCACGTCACAATACAATGCAAGATGGTGGACACTTGTTGTCATAGCAACGAGTGTTGTAGTCGTAGCTAAGGTTGTCTTCCACTCATTGTCTATAAACTAAAAGGTCTCATGTGAACTTCCCGTAACACTACTACTATGCCAATCATTTAATTTTACTTTTCCTTCACCTCATTGATTGTAAACATTTTGACTACTAAGAAATTAATAATTATTAAAAAAATTATGAAGAACAAAAATTTATGTTTTCTTCTTGACCCTTTTTATTGCCACGCTAAAGTTCCATGGTGCTAGAAATAAACATTGTAGGTCAAATGTATAGTTGTATTGTGTTTACATTAAAATATGATAAATAATTTTGAAAATTAGGCAATTACAATTTTACTTTTTTTTCAGATTAATACAATCTAATGATTACATTTGTATTGTGATATAGAGTTAATTTATTTATTATGCCAAAAAAGAACAAATTAGGTGTTTGCTGTAACATTCTAGAAAATATTTTTCAGTTCATTTTTCAAATGAGTTTTAGTGACAACATAATCATGGTTTAACTACAGATGTGAAAAATTACATCTTATTTATTTTATATGACTTTATATAGTATTTAAATGACAACTATATATGTATTTTTAGAATAATTGTCTATTATTATTAGCATTTCAATTCATATTTAACAATATAACATTTTAATATCTACATACTTGTTATTTCATGTGCAATTGTTTTCACGTGTTCACAAAGTTGAGACTACATTTGTATGTGTGTGTTTTTTTTTAACAGGTTCAAGCCGTATCAAAACAAATTGCACCTGAGAATCAATACAAGGGTATCGTAGATTGCTTCACTCGTGTATCCAAAGAGCAGGGAGTCTCATCACTATGGCGTGGTAACTTGGCTAACGTCATCCGTTACTTCCCAACTCAAGCACTCAACTTTGCATTTAAGGATAAATACAAGCAGATGTTCTTGTCAGGTGTTGATAAAAACACACAGTTCTTCCGTTACTTTGCTGGAAACTTGGCTTCAGGTGGTGCTGCTGGTGCAACATCTTTGTGCTTTGTGTACCCATTGGATTTTGCTCGTACTCGTCTTGCTGCTGATATTGGATCAGCTAGTGCTGGTAAGCGAGAATTTACCGGACTTGGTGACTGCCTGAAAAAGACACTCAAGTCAGATGGCATTACTGGACTCTACCGTGGGTTTGGTGTTTCAGTCCAGGTATGTACTCTTTAAAGTTGATTTGGAAAAAATGAATAACTTATAATTTATAATTATATTGATTGGTCAATGAGATTTTTATTATAATATTAATTATGTCATATTTCAATTTATAGGGCATTATCATCTACCGTGCATCATACTTTGGTTGCTTTGACACTGTTAAGGGTCTTCTTCCTGACAATCTGAAATCAAGCATCTTGGTGTCTTGGATGGTAGCTCAAGTTGTCACCACTAGTGCTGGTGTTGTATCTTATCCATTTGATACCGTGCGTCGTCGAATGATGATGCAGAGTGGACGTAAAGATGTCATCTACAAGGGTACCATTGACTGCTGGTCAAAGATAATGCGACAGGAAGGTGGAAGTGCATTCTTCAAAGGTGCGTTCTCTAACGTTCTTCGTGGCACTGGTGGCGCTTTTGTGCTGGTGCTGTACGATGAAATCAAGAAGATGCTTTAAATATCCTGCGAGGATATAGGGGAACATGGGGGGAGGGGGGTAATGTTGGAGAGTTACATGCTGCTAGACATACACTGATTGGAAGGAAACATGGTTGATTATAAGCAAACACGACAAGCGACTTCGGTCTACAATCTTGAAAGATACTGTCATTTGACAAGCGACTTCGGTCTACAATCTGGATGGATACTGTCGTGAAAACTTGAATCGTCGGTTTACAATCTTGAAAGATAAGGAAGGATATTCAACAAACAACATTAGTCTTGAATGATACTGTCATTTGATAAGCGACTTCGGTCTACAATCTGGATGGATACGGATATTGGACAAACAACATTATTCTTGAAAGATACTGTCATTTGACAAGCGACTTCGGTCTACAATCTGGATGGATATGGATATTGGACAAACAACATTATTCTTGAAAGATACTGTCATTTGACAAGCGACTTCGGTCTACAATCTGGATGGATTCTGTCCAACAAAAAACTTAAGTCTTGAAAGATACTGTCTTTTGACAAGCGACTTTGGTCTACAATCTTGAAAGATATTGTGTCATCATTCAATCAGTGCTCAGTAGTAACATCCAGCACATTAAAGAAATATGAATAACAAAAAAAACATTGTCTGCAT